TGTCTTGTTGTTTTGTTTTGTGATTTTTTTGTTTTTGTTTGTTTTATTTTTTTGTAAACACGACTTGTGGTATTACTCAGGCTGGTCTCAAACTCCTGGACTCAGGTGATACTCCTGCCTCAGTCTCTTGAATAGCTGGTGCTATAGACACATGCCCCCATGCTTGGCCCTACATGCTGGTGCCACTGAGCTAAATCCCTGGCCCCCTGCATGCCTTTTTTAAATAGAAGAAATATATAACTTTTTTGCTCTGTTTAGCTTACTACAGTGTCCTTGTAGAGCAGTAAACCCATTCATTTTGTCAAATAGATTGAGAGATTTCTTCCAAAACCAGTTGTTTTCCAAAACCTGTTGTCTTATTGATACAAAGGAAAGTATTCTGTTGGTTTAATCACTATTATATACTTTCAAAAACTGCAGAGCCAGGGATTTAGCTCAGTGGCACTGTGCCTGCCTCACAACTGCAAGGTCCTGAGTTTGATCCCCGGTACCAAAAAAAAAAAAGTTTCAAAAACTGCAAATAAGCTGGCTATGATGGTGTACACCTGTAGTCCCAGCACTCAGGAGGCAGAGGCAGGAGGATCATGGGAGTTCAAGGCCAGCCTGGGCTACCTAGTGAGTTCAGGACAAGCCTAAACTGCACAGCAAGACTCTGTCTGAAGAAAAAAAACAAAAAACAAAAAACAAAAAACAAAAAAAACAGGGCTAGGGATTTAGCTGAATGGTTCCGCCACCTGCCTCGCAAGTGTAAGGACCCAAGTTCAATCTCCAGTACAAAAAAAAAAAAGATAATACAAAATAGGGAAATATAGAGCCTTTGCAATTGAGAAGGAAAACTAGCGATGAGAGGAAGAGGAGGGCATGGGGAAGGTTAAGAAAAAAACAGTAAGATAGGTATGTACATGTACTAACTCCACGGTGAATTAATCATTATATACAGGGAACATGTACTAATAAACTTTTTTTTTTTTTTTTTTTTTTGGTAAGACAGGATCTTGCTATGTAGTTCAGGCTGGTCTCAGACTTGTGGCAATCCTTGTGCCTCATCCTTCTGGGTGCTGGGATTACAGGTGCGTACCACTATGCCCAGTATTAATAAACTTTTTTCAAAGAGAATTTAAGGATTTTTTTTTTTAGAAATAATCAATCTGGGTGTGGTAATCCCAGCACTTGGGAAGCTGAGGTAGGAGAATTGTCATGAGTTTGAGACCAGCTTCGGCTATATAGTGATTTCAACGCCAGCCTGAATTACAAAGCAAGAGCCTGTCTTGAAAAAAACAAAGAAAAGAAAGATTAATCAAGTATATACCAGGAAATGCTAAGATTTAATCACAGTCCTCTATAAATTGTGTTTATAGGAAACTGTTTTGCATTTTACAGCTCTTTCTTACTATAATTGAGTTAGAAGTGACTTCTAGGACCCAGGTCTGGTGGCACATGCCTGTAATCCCAGCACTCAAGGAGGCTAAACCAGGTGTTCAAGGCCAGCATGAGCTACATAGTGAGACCCTGTCTCAAAAAACCAAAAAAATAAAAAAAGGCCGAGGGATTTAACTTAGTGGCTTTGCACCTGTCTCTCAGGTGTGCGGTCCTGAGTTTGATTCCTGGTACCCCCCCCAAAAAAAAAGTAAAAAACCAAAAAAGGGAAGAAAAAAGAAGAAATTATTTCTGGGACATTTGATTCAATGTCCTAGAGTTTCCCCTCAGGTTACTAGGTGAGGTAGTAAAATCTGTTGCTTGCTGACTGACTGACTCATCACCTGTGTTAAGCCAAGCTTCTCTTTGTGTGTACAGGTACAACAGAATAGCTCGGGAATGGACTCAGAAGTATGCGATGTAATTAAAGAAATTATTGGATAACCTCTACAAATAAAGATAGGGGAACTCTGAAAGAGAAAGTCCTTTTGATTTCCATTTGACTGCTTTCTATGAGCCCACGTCTCATCTTCCCCTGTGCACATGTTTACCTGATACAGCAGTGCTGCGTGTTGTACATATTTGGAAGCAACAAACTAGAAATACTGTACTTCTGTACCAACATTGCCTCCTAGCAGAGAAGTATGTGTGTGACAAGCCAGTTCTGCAGGCGTAACCTAGGTGTGAGACTAAAAAGCTTTCCTTACTGACTTAAATTTGGATAACAGCACGGTGTGAGGGGTGGTGGGTACATGTGTGTGCTTGGGTGGGGAAAAGCTCCACTGACCTATAGGAGATGTTTTTAAGTGGAATCCATTTAAACTCAAAACAGTAACGAAAAACAAGGTGAACATGAAACTGTTTCTATATTCATTCTATTCTGAAGGATCTATAACTTAGGTGAAAGTTATGACCAAGTAGATTAAACTCTACCCACATCCTGTATTTTAAGGTCTAAGTTTAACTGGTCAACATTTAAATGGATTGGAGCTATTAGTACATAAAGTGTGATGGGCTTTGTTCCCAACTCTTTTACATCTCTGCCCCTTCAATTTTTTTCCTTTCAGCCCCTTTCTCTCCATATTCTTTGGTTTATATGTGGTTTCTCAGTTAATACATAGCTAATAGCTCTTATTTTTCTTATGTTTTTAACTGCTTAGGTCTATTTGGATGTGAGGGTGAAAATAATTTGATGGAAATACTTGTGTATATTTAAAGACCCAATTGCTCCTCTGGAGCTTGTACGTTCAAGAATGATTAATCTGTGTAATAAACTGATTACTACAGTCATTACATTTAATTTTGTGTGAATAGGCTTTTTGATTTTAAGAACTTTGTCTAGCTGAGATTAGTGGTGGATATTACCACCACACCTGAAATGTTTTCATTTATACTGGTTGCATTTCAAAATCATGAAACAATTCCAGTTTACATAGTAAAAACAAATCTTGAGAGTAATTTTATTGAACCAAGATAGAGACAAGCTTGAAAACATTTTCATAAAACCTATATGTGCAGCATTCTGGGAACATGACTGTTAAACTAAAAAAATTCCTTTATTAATGAAGCTAAGCTGCATTTCACCAAAATCTTGTCACATTCCCTTGGCGCATAAGACATAAAAACATAAAGGCATTGCTATTTGGTAAGTTAAGCCACCATGATTGTAATTATAAAAGAGTAACTTTGACCAGACCTGGGAAACATGAGCACAATCTTGTATTGGAGAGTCTACATAATTACTTTGCACTAACATTTGCAAGGATGTTCATCCAGTTTTAAATTGTATTGTATGTGGCTTTTTGAAGTCTTCCCTTGACTCTAGTAAAATGTAGTTTGAAACTTGTAAACAACTGTATTTGCCAGAAACATTCATGTGAACTAGGCAAGTTACCTTTTTCCTCTTTTCCTAATTGTAAACCAGGCCAGCCTGAAGGCCATGGCTGATGCTTTCTAGCCATGAGGTTCTTTAAAATGCATCTTTACACTCTTGCACAAAAACTGAGGAATAAATGTCCATTGCTTTTGGAGTTAAACTGGTCCACCTGGTCTCATCTCTTAATGTTACTGTTCTTCCATCTCACTCTACCTATGATATAACCCAAACGCTTCTTACACTTGTGCATTCTCTAGCTACTGGCTGCTTGTAAGCATTTTGAGAATGCTTATTAGCATCCTTGACCTTGTAGGGAAGGTTTAACTGTTAACAGTTGTTGGGGGGAGGATTTAACTCAGTGGTGCCACTGATCCATCACAAGCACAAGGTTCCAACTTAAATCCCCGGTACCAAAAAAAAAAAAACCAGTTGTGGATAGTAACTGGGCTTGGTGGCACATGCCCAGCACTTGGGAGGCTGAGGCAGGAGGATCACCACAAGAAGTTAGAGGCCAGCCTGGGGTATATAGTGAGTTCAAGGCCACCTGGACTACAGAGCAAGATCTGCTAGACAAAGTTCTTAAAATCAAAAAGCCTATTCACACAAAATTAAATGTAATGACTGTAGTAATCAGTCAACAAACAGTTGTAGGGAATGGAATTAAGATGATACTCTACCCTAAAATCACCCTATATTTACAGTATCATGGGCAGGTAGAAACTCTTTATTTGCTTTTGAGATGGATTCTCTTTGTGTTGCTCAGGTTGGCCTTGAGCTAGAAATACTTTTTTTTTTTCTCTTTTTTTTTGTACAGGGATCAAACTAAGAACCTTGTGCTTACGAGGTGGGTGCAATGCCACTGAACTAAACTACTTTTTTTTTTTTTTGAGATAGGGTCTTGCCATATAGTCCAGACTGGCAAATCCTACCTCAGCCTCCCCAGTGCTAGGATTATAGGCATGTGTCACTACTCTGGCTGCTCGAGCTCAAAATGTTCTTACATCAGCCTCCCAAGTAGCTGGGGTTATGGACAGGAGCCACCACTGCTATCTTTGATACACACACACACACACAGGGTCCTAAGAGGCTGAACCTAGGGCCTTGTGCATGGCAGCAAATGTTCTAGCAGTGAGCTACACCCCCAGCCCACTATTTGCATTACAAGCCAGTTTTACTATCACTTACTAGGTAATACCATGCTATTTTTTAAATTTTAAGCCAGTGTTTTACTAAATTGCCCAGGTTAGGCTCAAACCTGTGATCTTCCTGCCTCAGCCTCCCAGAGTATTGGCATTACAGCATGTGACACCATGTGTGGCTCATAGGAGTGGAGTACTCACAAAGTTTTTTGTTGTTGCTTTGTTTTTTCTTACATAAAAATAATCATCCTGGTTTGTAGGTGCCAAATGAAAGGTTTAGATGATCACAAATAATAATTAGGTCCTTGAATTCAGTTTGGCTTGCCAATTAAAGACGGAAGCACGTTTGGTCCAGTTGTGTGCATGTGCCTTGCCCAGAAGGAAGACTCGGAAGTCACTCTTTCCCCTCAAGTTACACCAAGGATCACATTGCTTGGTTTTGGAATTTCAGGCTTTGTCATATGTCTGAGCTATTTTGTAGCACCCTTGAGTATCTTGCTAAGGTAGTGGTTATAAGGGAAAGTCAGAGTGTATGGATTTCCTTTTGTTTGCTAAATAGTGCTTTTTCAAGGTATAACTGTAGCTGTCTCTTTGGTAAAACCAGTTCATTTCAGATGCATGCTCTCTTATTGGCCAATAGTCAAGGGAAGCATTGTCTTGCCAGTTTCTACATTTAAACTAGAACAAAGATTTGGAAGGGAAAAAAAAGATTTGGAAGGGATGTACAGGTGAGGAAGGGCAGGAAGGTCTAGAGAGAAGAAAAATGCATGGTGAGAAAGGGATTTTCTCCTAACCTAGTGAGTAAAAACATTCCTTTTCCACTTTTAGCTGCTACACAGTATTCCACTTTTCTGTTTTGTTGTTGTTTTTTTATGGTACCAGGAATCAAACTCAGGACCTTGTACTTGCAAAGCAGGCAGGGCACCACGAAGCTAAATCCCTGGCCCGTATTCCACTTTCTGAAGCATTCCTCTTTGCCTCAACAAGTTACTTTGAGTCTTAGGAAGCTTATTAAAAGCAATGGTTATTTCTAAGTTACAGTTAGAGGGCCAGGGATTTAGCTCAGTGGTTCTGCCATCTGCTTCACAAACGGAAGGTCCTGAGTTTGATCCCCAGTACCAAAAAAAAAGTTACATTTAGAATTTGCCTATTAACTGTACCTTGTCTGCAAATTAGGTGAAAATCTGGTTTTGTCTTAATGTGCTGTATAGCACCCCTTAACATCCAGTTGTAAAGATTTTTGTGATTATTTATTTATTTGTTTTGAGACAGGGTCTCACTTTACAGTCCAGGCTGGCCCAGAAATCTCAGCAATCCTCCTATCCTCTGCCTCAGCTTCCCAAGTGCTGGGATTACAGGCATGCACCACCAAGCCTGGCTCCAATGGTAGTTTTTGTTTTGTACTGGGGATCAAACTCTGGACCTTGCACTTGCAAGGCAGGCTTGGTGCCACTGAGCTAAATCCCTAGCCCTGGTAGTTTTAACAGGAGAACTTTATTCTGTTCCTGTGTCTTCTGAATTATGAACACATCCTCCATTCAAATCAGGAGTAAGTATTACCTCTATAGCAAATTGTCATCAGGGTTAAGGACCCATCATCTCCTTGTAATTCCTCCTTTTCCCTTTATGAAACACTTTATTTCATATGATGTGTGAAATAGACTTCCTTTGGGTATTCTTGGGTCCTGGTTCTTCATTTTCTCTTGTGTTGTGTAAGTACTTAGATGAAAACTAGCTTTCTCTAAATTTTTATACCCCACCACAGAAACCTTTCTTTAAAAGCCTTTACCTAGTTGGGTGTGACTGCACACTTGCTTGTAATGCTAGCATTTGGGAGCCTGAGGCAGAAAGATTGCCAGATATTTAAGGAGTTCAAGGCCAGTTTGGACTCCTTAGGACAACCTTGTCTCAAAAACAAAAGCTTTTCCCTAGCAGTATAACTACTTAGCCAAGGTTGGTGTTATGGAACTTTCAGGCCCTTCTGAACTATTTCCATATCAATTCCTGGATTCTTAGGATGGGTTTAGAAATAGAAAAAGTAGCCAGGCATGGTAGCACACACCTGTAATCCCAGCACTCAGGAGAGAGACTGAGGCAGAATTGCTTCAAGTTCAAGGCCAGCCTGCACTACATTTGGAGACCCTGTCTCAAAAAGGCAAAATCCAAAAGGAATAGGAAAAATGAGCTAGGAGATCACATTGTCAGGGTTAATATTCATGAAACAGTTACTTAATGTTGCCATATTTAACCTTAGTCCATATAGATTGGAAACCTTAAATTTGGATTTAAGGCTTTTGACCTTAAGTGATGGATTGTGTAACAAAATCACCGGTCAACTTTGTTCTTTCTTAGTGACTGCTCCTGGGCTTGTTGCAGCAAAGCCAAACTTTTTTATGCCAAGTGATCACTTTCCATCTTTGAATTATTTGTGGAGCTTTATCTTGTCAGTCGCACAGTGTAATCTGCCCCTTAGCAAATAACTATATTAAGACTTTAGGGCTGAGACAGCAGTTTAATAGTGGTCTTCATTTTAACCTCTTAGGTGGTATTTGTAGATCTTTTCCAGGGCTGGGGTGTCTGAGTGCCCTGCATTGTCCTATGAAAGCAAATGATTGTTCACTTGTGGAAAAGCAAGAGGCGCCACTAAATGTTCAGCTGGGTCTCTTGTTCAGGGAAGAGCAACAACAGAACATTTGGTGAATATACTTGTTCCCTTTTAAACTTGTGAGGAAGTTAGGGAGTGATAGTTCATTTTCCCAGTGCACTACTCTCTGCCCAGAGCCACTGGTTCTCAAGATTCTTTTTTGACCATGTGTGTAAATTGTTTTTTTCAGTACTAGGGCTTGAACCTCGGGCCTTCTCATTGAGCTACATACCCAGCCTTTTTATTTTTTGGAAGGAG